TAGTGTGTTTTTACCTCATTTAATATTCACTTATGTTAATGTGCTTTAACCACCGTTGCATCGATCTCTTATCTGTTATATTGTATTTGTTGGTCCAATACATGTTTTATTACCCAAGTTTGAGGCACGAGATTAACTGCGCGATATCACAAGTAGTGCATCGGCCGGGAACATGAGCCGAACCGTTTTTTTGTGTACCGCGTGGGTTCATGGGGTGCTCGTGGCCTATGATATGTGCATACCTCAATCTTTGGTGCATGGGGCGGAGTTGTATGATAACTGTCAAGCGGGCACACGTTAAGCTCCGAGGTCTTTCTGCGAAGCTATGCCCACCCAGGACCGCTTGAGCGACCGTGTGGCCAGGTGTACTGCGCAACGACTACATTGAGTTGCTGTCATACCAAGAACGAGACAAGTATGAGCCCATGGAGAATTCACGAATGTGCGATCTTCTGTCCATGCTCCAAACGTAGCAGGGTGCAGAGCTGAGAAGGATATGATCGCACTGCGTATGGCAATCATTGAGGATGGAGTCACAGAAGTAGAGAGATGTTATACTGGAGATGGACTATTGCCTGGAATCAATAGTCGCAGCTTCACTGTGAAAATTGGTCCTATATTGAGCTCCCGCGGACAGGAGTTAGATTTCAAGACCATAGATTTTCTGAGGACTCGGCTTGTCCACAACGAAGTGGTGGTTCAGCACAAGTACAAGAGACCAGACGACCTGCACGTGGCCTCCAGACTCGTCTTACCTGGGTACCCAAGTAAAAGATACATTGTTGCACCATCCAAGACTATCTCCGGTGCCATACCGGCTGCTATAAGTGGCGAGGGCTTTGTAATTGCCATCGGAGGAGACAAAGGCGTCAGACCTGAGGGAAGTCGAAAGGATGTGGCGGCTAATTTGGAAATGCTATCGCATGAGGCGGAGGCACGTCGTGTGGCACTGAAACAGGCAGCTGAGGGCGCTATGGCGGATGCGTATGCAAAGGGTCTAGTGCCGAGCCGCGTGCCAGAAGAGATGAAAGAGGTGCATGCCACAGCTGCGGACACACAACAACGTGTATCTGAAGTTATGAGCGAAGCCCAAAGACTCCAGAAGGAAGCGTACCCGCCAATACATGAGAGTACAAGTATGAACTCGCCTATCAAGAAGATGCGTTCAGAGCTGGGACAGCTGCTTCCGGACGGGGCAGATAACAGCTCTAGCACAACGTCGGGTTTTCACTAGAGGCACTCAGCATCGTGTTACGTTGCGGTCTGGTGTACGGGTTTGAGCGGAAGCGAGTCGAATATATCTGCCAAACTTAGTTTGCTGAGTGCCCTGATGTTGAGAAATCACCAGACCCTCCGGATATGTATGATGAACAAAGAGAATACGACCCGGAAGGCTGGAAACTGTTGATGGAATGAAAAGAAGAGGATTACCATGTGCTGGAGACCCGATTCCCATGGAAACTCAAAGGAGAAGCCACTGCCACTGATTTTCCATACCGACTGGCCTGGAAACGACGTCGAAATTAATGTCGACTGTGCTATCAGTCGCCTGCGAAATACAGACTTCAATCAAAAAACAGCAAAACATCAAACCAATTTCTTATTACATACCATTGCATGAAAACCGAAAGGTTCTTGAGTGCATGGTTTCTAGAACGGGAGATGTTTCCCGGAGGAGTAAGAAAAGCTCATCCAGGAAATCATCACCCTACAGCACATTTACTATGACTTTCAATCACATATTATTTGAGAAAATGTACAAAAGCACGTCAAAGGAAAGTGAGCATCATTCCGTTAGCGCCTCTGAATTGAAGCATTTCCATTTTAGAGCAATGTCTTCAAGGAACGATTACGATTTCACGAAAAAACGTCAAGCTGAAGAACGCAAACTCATCGATGAAATTCGTTATAAGCGAGCATGCATAGAGACAGTATCGAAGTTCCCAGAAGAGGAAGACGTCCAACACAGAATACGTGGCTTCGTGAGATTCGTCATCAATACTGTCAGGAACAACCGCCTAAATGACGAATTTACCGAAATTCGAGGAAGAAGACCAATTCTTTCGCCAATGGAGACGCCAACGGGCCAATTTTTCGCCTCTACAAAAGTTATCTGGAAAGAATTTGTCTCGAAGTGG